TACCTAAGATTGAGTGGAAAATGTTAAGGGGGTTGGGAGAACAAAAATCAAAAATTCTTTTTTTTTAATATGTTAAGTTTAGAAGATCTAGGAAATAACCAGGTGGAAATGTCAAATAGATAACTAAGTATATGAATCTTTCACTAAGGATTGAAATAAGAGATTTATATTTGGGAGTCATCAACATAAAAAAAAGGATTACCTAAAAACTTTCTAAAGAAGTGACAGTAGATTTGAACCCTGAGATATTCAAATCTTTAGAAGGTAAATTGGAGAGAGGCCACAGCAAAAGAAAAACGTAGAGCCTGTAGGAAGGTAAGAAAAAAGCAATGAAATGTCTGGTTGACTGGAAATAAGAGATGTTATTGTGTTAGGCAGAGGGGGAGATCAGCTTTCAAATGCTGCTGAGGAAAACAGGGAAATTGATATAACAAAAAAACTTTGGATCTTGCAACACAGATGTAATCGATGACCCAACAAGGGCAATGTTTGGGAGGTATTGGGGCAGAAGCTGGGTTTGGGGGGAATGAATTAAGAGAAAGCAGAGCAATGGGAAATGCATCATTTCCTAATGAGTTTTGTTATTAGGGAGAGTAGAGAACGTAGCATGTTTTGTTTTGTTTTGTTTTGTTTTCCATTGGTTTTGTTTTTCAGTGGGATGATACAGTAAGTGCATGCAAACTGAGACAACTCAAAGAGAGGAGGATAATAATATAGGAGAGGGATAGTAATAGCTGGAGCAATTATGTTACAATAATTATCTGTGACATTAAACAGTGGAACCCTCATACCTGAAAGAGGGATATTTATGTGGGTGAACCTGAAACTATGAAACCATTAAATTTCCTGGAACCTCCAGGGCCACCAAGAGCAAACCCCTACAACCTACAAGGACAGGAGAGCCATTGCACTCCTGAAAACTGTTCAATTAACTCAATGTGAAGGAAAGAAACACTTATTCTCCTCAAGATATGCCCTACGACTCCTCATTTCTTCAGGACAAAGTATCAACACAGCCCAATATGGTAAGTACAATTTCCATTCTAAAAAAAACAGAAACAAACAAACAAATGAAAAAACAAAACAAGCTAATACTCTCACTCTAACAAATCAGCAGAAATAAGAAAACATGCTGGAGATGGGTCTTGAGGGTGATGGATCAAAAGGTTCTCTATATTTAGGCTGAGTATGGAGAATTTATGGAGCCAGGGGTCCTCAATAATGACTTAGGGCTCATATTCTGGCAAGGGCACATAAATCCAGCCTTAATATGCTGTTGGAAGAGCTCCATGAATGTTGGACACAATGCTGGCCTCATATACAAGGTAGACTTGCTGCAATTCCCTTGATATAGAATTAAAAAGGATCAAACAGTTCAGGGAGATGGTAAGGTCAGCAAGGATTCCTACAGAAGACATAAGAAACCACCTCTTATTCCCTAGGAGATCCCTGAAGATATCTTCTTCCCTGAGGCAACCATAAATGCTCTGCTGAGGGGAACACCCGCATCACTGAAAGCCAATGACGGCCTGTCGTCTGTAGGCTGGAGCTGGCTGATGGGAGAAGCTGCCAGGAACCTGGGTTCCAGGTTTCCATGAGAACACTGGAATTGTCTCTGGGAGCACTGAACTATCATCAGCATCTTGAGCAACAAGGCCAGCCAGAGTGCTAGTCACCGTGTACTCAGCTGGTCAATGCTAAGGAAAATGGTGAACCTAGGATTCTGAGAGATAGACAGTTGAGTAAGGTGCTTCTTGCACTAGGCAGGAAAAAAAAAAATGCTAAGAAGCTTTTGTAATAGAGAAACACTATTGCTTCTCAAGCTTCCAACTCTCAGTCACTTCACCTTACTGACTGAAGAGAAGCTGGATCTTACCGAGGAATAACCTTGCCAGGTTTTCATGGTACACGTTTTCCAAATTCCATCCTGCCCAAAGAGAATTGCACTCACTTGACAGAGTCATGGTGAACTGGAGAAAAAATGTCAGTTAGCTATGTAGAGAGATTTTCAATAGCAGATATGACTGGACAGTAACAACTGAGCAAAAGCAATGCCATCATGAGCTTCCCGGGGGAGTGGGGGTCTAGGTGGGACAAATCCTTCAGTGGCTTCTGTGGGTCCACACACCCACCCTGAAGTTATCTACTGTATTCTCAAGAATAAAATTGGGATAGATGTTCTTAGCATCTGTCAGGATGCAGACCGGACATTTCTTAAATTTTGGGTAAAGATCAGAGCTGGGACTACTACCCTGCTTCCATGATAAAGAGAAAGCTTCTAATTTTTTCTTGAGTCTTCACCCCATTGACTTTCCAATGATTCAACCTCTAGGTTTATATGGCTTCATATATTTTTCACTGTGAAATGTATCCAACTACATAGATAGGATAGTCACATTTCTTCAGAAATTATATGGCAAGCCTATGAGGGTACTGAGATTGCCAGCAGGCAGAGATGAAATTTGCTTCCAAAGAGGAGGTCAGTTCTAGGACTGATTTCAGAAGTGAACGTGGCAGGGAGTGTGGGAATTAACAGAATTAAACATGTTTCCATTGTGTCTGTTTTCCTGACTTGTAAATTCTTCACTGGTGCTAGTACTAAGAGCAAACTACTTATACTCTTGCTAGAAATGTTCACTAGAACCTTCTTTATCCTCACCGAATTTTATTGTCCGCCTTTGGGGGCCACTGGCATTCACATGCATGAGTGTCCACAGGTGTCATCCAATTTGGACACTCAGAGAAACAAGAACCTCAAGGTAAAGCACGGTTCCTAGGCTGTCTCTATGGAGCCCACCACCTGAGGGATGTTCCCTATCAAATCTCTTTCTGCTGCTCTTCACTCAGATGCTTCTGAAGTGGATGGAAAAAATGTATCATCATTATTCCAAGTATCTCCCTTCGAGGAAAAATTCTCACCAGATTCTTTGGCTAGAGTTGCTGTAACAAAGGACTACAAAGTGATTGGCTTAAACGACAGAAATTTATTTCCTCACAGTTCTGGACACTAGAAGTCTAAGAACAAGCTGTTGGTGCAGTCTGAGGGTTCTCAGGAAGAAGCTCTTCCAGGCTTCTCTCTTAGCTTCTGCTGGTTTCCTAGCAGTCTTTGGTGCTCCTTAGTTTCTGCCACATTGCCCTAATCTCTGCCTTGAGCATCACTTGCCCTTCTCCCTGTGCACATCTGTGTGTCCTCATTTTCCCTATTTATTTCTATATTCTTATGGTCCCTTTTCTCTCTTTGGAAAAATGTGGAAACTAGTTGACATACAATATTACATGAGTTCCAGGTGGACAACATAGTGATTCAACATTTATATACACTATGAAGGATCACCTGGAAAAGTCGACCTACCACCTATCAAGATAGAAAATTGTTAGGTAGTATTAACTGTATTCCTGCATTCCTTCTGTGTAGGTCATATCCCTGTGTTTTATTGATTTTATAAATATATGTTTGTACCTTTTCATCTACTTGTTCATCCTGTTTTGCCCAACCTCCCAAACCCTGCCTTCTGACAACTGGATAATTAGTTCTTTGTATCTACTAGCGTGTATCTGTTTTGTTTTGTTGTCTCATTTGTTTTGGTTTTTAGCTTCCCCATGGGTATGAAATCACATGGAATTTGTCTTTCTCTGATTTATTTCACTTAGCATTCTACTCTCTAGACCTGTGTGTATTGTCCCAAAGGGCAAGGTTTCCTTCTTCATCGCGATTAGTATTCCATTATGTCTACACACCACATCTTCTTGATTCGTTCATCTCTCCATGGATCCTTAGGCTGCTTCCATATTGTGGCTCTTGTAAATAATGCTGCAATGAACAATAGGGGTGCATGTGTTTTTTCAAAGTAGAGTTTTCCTTCTCTTTGGAGAAATACCCAGCAGTGGGTCTGCTGGATTCTTTTGTAGTCCTAGTTTTCAGTTTTTGAGGAATCTCCATACTGTTTCTTATAGTGGCTGCACCAGTTTGCATTCCCACCAACAGTGCACAGTGTTGCATTTCCCACACACCTTCACCTCATACTATGACACACATATATTGAGTGACTACCAGAAATCATAGGAGTTCACAAGGTACCTTTCTCTGCATTTAAGCTCAGAAAAGGGCATGCATATCTGTAATCAGAACTTGGCCACCACCCTTACTGGTCTCACAAAGACACATTTTTGGCTTGGTAATATTGGTGGTGGTCAAGTCCTCATGAAATTATGAAAATCTGTGCTGTGGAAACTTGTATACTAGAAAACATGTGGAGCCTACTCAGGGCTTTGGATCTCCCAACTTGTCCATTCCTGTCCCGTGACTAAGAACCATGGCCCTGGAAGGAAAACAAGAGCCAGCTTTCATGCTGATGACTTTATTGATGATTTGAAGTCAGGGAAAGGAAAGGCCACATTTCTACCACTGAACAGTCCATGGTCACCAGTTGATGTCTATCCATTTCTAAATGAAGAGAAGAATTTTAGACAGACATATTAATTTGGCTTGGACATGATCTATATCCGTATTTCTACTAGTAGGTAGTAGAAGACAGTATAAAACATCATATTAAGAGAGAGAGAAGAAGAAGAAGCTGTGAGAGGAGGAGGCCAGGAGAGAGTAGAGAGAAGGGAAGAGAGGAGAGAAGAGGAAGGGCGTGGGGAGGTAGAACTTGGGAAAGCTGTAGGCTAATACAAGTATGAGGGAGTCAAAGAAAGAAATGAAGGAAGGAAGGAAGGAATACAAAGAAAGGAAGGAAGGAAGAAAGCAAGCAAGCAAGCCAGCGAGCTCAGAGTGGAAGGAACACTTGCTCTGATAACGAAGACTGTTCTATGGGTAAGGTTGAGGCAAGGAGAATTGCGGCAAGATGTTTAAGAGAGATTAAAATCAAGGTTTCAATGAGCCAAAGAACAGAAAGAAGAATTAGGAATTGAAAAGGGGAAATTCAGGAGATCAGTGAATAAGAATGCACTTCATACCTAGAGAATCACTGGAGGACCTCCTTACTAGGGTTACTTTGTCACTGGCCACCGAGGTGACCATGCTGGTCATCTCTTCCCTGCTGGTCTCCCTGGGCACCTGGGCCATGTTGGCCACCTGGTTCTTGCTGGCCAGCTGGTCCTTGTTGGCCACCGGGATGACCTTGGTTACCTGGACCTTGCTGGCCAGCTGGTCCTTGTTGACCACCAGGATGACCTTGGTTACCTGGACCTTGCTGGCCAGCTGGTCCTTGTTGCCCACCTGGTCCTTGTTGGCCACCTGGGCCATTTGGGCCATCACTGCCAAATGGGCCTTTCGGGCCTCCCTGGAGACCCTGGTTATGAGGCTTGTTTGGTTGCCCGTGGCCTTTCTCTCCAGGTTTGCCTCTCTCATCCTCATTTTCCTCTTGAGATTTGCCTTTTGATTCCTCTGGGTTTTCTTCCAATAATTCATCATCTCCTTGGCAAGAGAACACAAATTCAGCAAGGAAACAGTTAAAAGAAAGATTAGCCACCAACGGATATGATGCAAATGTGGGATGTATGATGGCCTAAATGTAGGCTGAAGGAGTATATCGCTGGTTTCTGTGGTGGTAGGTAATGACCAGGGCCTAGTCCCCAGAAGAGAAGGGGCAGAGAGATCCTGGCCTCCTGGCAGTGCATGGACCTAGCTGAGCGAGTTTTTGCCCACTGGTCATTTACTCTGCCTCTTTGGGTGCTTCTGCCTATTCTATATTGCCATCTACTCTGAAGTTGCCGTGATATAGTCAAGTTCAGATTACATCAAATCATCTGTAATCACCAGATATCTCATGATATCTGAGAGAAACCACCAGACAATTTCACTGTATCTACCTGCATCTGTGCAGGATATTTTGACACGAATCTATTGAATGAGGGGAAATTCCAGCTACCCTGCTTGTCGCAGTGCTACAGCAAATCATACAACACCCACTCTCCCCTTTCTGCTATCCTCCCCCACCAACGGTGAAGTCTGTGGCAAACAGGAGGTGTAAATAAAGCTTACCCTGTATTGTGTCTTTTTTGACAAATTTCTGGTACTTATGCTTGAGTACAGGCCCTCACCATCTCTATCTCTCTGTTTTGAAGATTTTATTTTTAAGTAATCTCTACACCCCACATGGGCTTCAAATTCACAACTGTGAGATCCAGAATCCGAGCTGTACCAACTGAGCCAGACTTCCCCTCCCCAATCTACAAAGATTTTATTTTTAAGTAATCCCTCATCATCTCTTGCATCCACTTTCATTCATTCCTTCCTCATCTCCTGGCTGTTGCTCTTATAATCATTCTCTTCAGGTTTCAACACTTATTTTATGGACTGCCCATGTGCTAAATTGTACCTTTTGTCAGATGTTAAGATGGCAAGCTTAACAGACACAGTCTATGCTGTCAGACTCCTTACTCCTGATTGTTGTCAGACCCACAAATAAATTGGTGTGTCACTTTCTTTTTCAAAACGCTCTCTGTTGCCCATAGAATAAATTACACCTTCACTTTGCTGTCTCTAAATTCCTGCACAATATGAAACAAGCCCATGTCTTCAACACTATCTTTGTATAGTCACTTCTACATTACTGATTATTCCATTTTCCTGGATGAGTAAAATCTGTATTGGATAGATTTAGCTTTACATTTCACTCTGCTGTCCCCCATGCCTCCACTCTCCAGGGTCCAGATCACAGGGAATCTTCTGTATGAGGCTTCCCCTTTTCTCCCCTGTTCTGAGCTTCTATGATACCTTATTTTGCCACATTTGGGACAGCAATCTTTGTTATGTCCAAGTCAAATCTTCCCTTAGATCCTGTGTTCCTTAAAGATAGGAACCATGTTTCATTTACTTTTGCATCCTCGATACCAAGCATGGGATCCTGACATGGTTACTGCGAAGTATTGGGTTTTATTGACTCAGTGCTGGGGTAGAGCATGTGGATAATCTAAGCCCTCTTTGAGGAATCCTCCAATAGGTGCGCCCTTACAAAGACAAGTAAGGCAAGTAACTGAAGCAAGAAAAATCAGAAGGAAAGCAGTGACCACACTGTCTAGATCTGAGAGAACTCTTAAATCCAAAGCAATTCATTGCCCCCGCTCAACTTTTTTTCTTCCTTTTGTCTTTTGCACTCCTCCTGCACTGTGGAACTAATAAGAGTAAACAATAGAGTAGGATGGGGGCGCCTGGGTCGCTCAGTGGGTTAAAGCCTCTGCCTTCGGCTCAGGTTATGATCTCAGGGTCCTGGGATCAAGCCCCGCATCGGGTTCTCTGCTCAGTGGGGAGCCTGCTTCCTCCTCTCTCTCTCTCTCTGCCTGCCTCTCTGCTTACTTATGATCTCTCTCTGTCAAATAAATAAATAAATAAAATCTTTAAAAAAACACAATAGAGTAGGATGGTTGAAAAAGAAAACCTTAAAGCTTGAGCATGATTTTTTTTTAAAGTACAAAAATCATGGAAATTTTGGAGTATATCTAGGACCCAGAGATTTCTTGAATCCATTTAGAAAAAGTCTAAATAAGTTGACTGAATTGGAAATAACTCACCTAATAATTGGGGTGTCTGCTCTTCCTCTTGAGGGGCTTCTGCAAAGAAAAAGCAAAAAAAAAAAAAAATGCAATACATCATAACCCAAACTGAAGGGCCCTTGACAAGCTAGGAACTGGGGAAAATCCTTAAACTTATAAAGGTTTTCCTGAAGCAACACAATTTTCAATTGACTTTTGCTCAACATTGTCATTTCTTTGGTGGTATGGCTTATCATCGATTAGCTCCCCCATGGTTTCTGGTCTTCTCTTCATCCTCTCTTCTATATACATTCCCACCCACACTGTTCAAATGAACTTCAGTTTTTTCCATCTGAAGGGTGTCCAGTGACTCCTGGCTTCACATTTCCCCTGCTCTGAAGAAAGGTATCCTTTCCAACCATATCAAGGCTTTCATACCAAAGGCATTAAGCATTAGTGCTGAAATGAGTAAGGTGTAACAGTAAGCTTACCGACTGAACAACTAAGTCCTTGTCTTAAATTACATTGTATCTTCATGATTCAAATTAGCTAAAGGTCAATAGAGATAATTCCCTTCCAGATGGGAGGCCTTTGTGCTAGTCAATCATTAGCCCTTGGTTGTAGAAGGATTTAGAGAAAAACACTTACTAATGAGTAGGGTGTCTAAGAGAAACCCAAATACTAAGAAGTTTGGGTACAGTGGAGCAACAACATTTCCCAAACTACAACCCCAGTCATGATCACTGGTTCTGAAGCAGAGATGACAGAGTCATATAGTTTTCCCAGTTCTGCATTAGGTAGGTGTAAGGAAATGAAGGGCTGCAATGCTTGTAGATGGATTTATGTGACCTCTTGTGAGAGGCAAAGTTGGAGACCTGAAATCATAAAGCTTCCTGGCTACATTAACATGACTTCACTCTTCCAGAAAGCTCTTGGCCAGAAATAATAATGTTTCAAAGAGTTACCACTTATTTCAGGACCTTGCCCCAAACTCTTTTAAAGAAACATTAAACTGTTCAACTCTTTTAGGGCATCAGCTGGTGGCTCTCTGAGACTCTTCCCAATACCTCAGTACACTTGCCCCCAAATTCTTAAGTCATCAACCTTACTCAATCCTAATAAAGCCCTCCTTCAAACAGACCCCAAAACCTTACTTTTAAAGATCCCAACTTTCCTCTTTACCCTCAGGGGCATTCTCCCTTACCAATGTAGGAATGAACTCAGTCTTGCCTTAATGGCATCATTTTGGTGATATACTGGCGACATGCTACCTTTAACCATATTTTCAGCTTCATTTTACCAGATCAGTTACTCAATACTTTGATAAGTGTTTCTGAAATACTCAGAGAAACAGAGCACTGCCCTGTGTTGAGACTGTCATGCTGCCCTTGGGAAGTAGGTGGATTAGGGACACAAGTCAAGAAGTTAATCAATTTGGGAACTAGAAGAGATGGGGAGCTAAGAGATTTATGTGTTGAATGGTCTGGATGTCAACTTACAAACATTCAACATAATGAAGACAAGTCAAAGTCATTTCAGATGAAGTAAAAGCTAAAACAGAGGTCACAGGATGAGGCAGAAATCAGACAGGGCTGAGTCTGTATTACAGCTTTGTCACTTCCTGATTATGCACATTGTGTAGAATATTTAAACTCCAGAGCTATGGTTCAGTTGTGAACTGGGAATAAGAATGTCTACTTCAAATTGTTGCAGTGAAGAATTCATGACATGAAACTTATACGAGACCAGGGATAAAATATATTCCATGTCCATGCTATTCAAAAAAGAAAATCTTTTTCTTAAGATTTTACTTTTATTTCCCACCTAACAGTCAAACTACCACAAAATATAGAGCTTGAAGCTCAATTAATTGTATCAAAAACAACTTTGTCTGCTTCAAACTTCATATACCTTTCAGAAAACTCAGAAATGACCATTGTAGAATTTGGAGCCCCAAGTTTGTCTCAGAAGATGGTGACAGGCTAAAAACTCAAATAATCAATCAGAGTGTCATGTATTTAGTATTCCTATTTTCTTGACCAAAGCTGCTTCTATAGAATGACAAAACATTTAGTAAGAATACAAAATTTTGTTTCAAACTGTATTCGTTTGTATTATAAGAGGTCTACTATCTGGATGTTTGCAGTCCTTGAAAGAATTACCTGGATGCTTATTCTATATCTGGAGATTTGGTACCTTTAAGAGAGGCCATCCAACATCTCTCTTTTAAAGAGCCAAAGATCAAAAAAGAATTAATCTTTCTCTTTTTTATGAATAAATTCCTCCATCTTTGCCTGAAATGTTCCATTGCTAGGATTTTCTAGTTTTCCTATAGATGCATGCCTGCCAAATCATTCCCTGACCAGACATAGAAGTGTTTAAAAATAAAAAGAATAGGTAATACAATAGAGAGCAGAATGAATAGTGCCTACTTACTGTCAAAATTTTGATGCAATAAAGACAATTGAATTCAGATTCTCCATATTTTTAAGTGGCCATGTGTTTGATGTCAAGGAAATGAGATATCTCGATGAATTTTAGAATACTCATTTCATTGAGATGGCTTTTTCACACAAACAGAGTGAAGAAGTGAAAGTCCATATTTCTAGAAAGAGGAAAGGTCCCACCAGGAAGACATGGACTTGAAATGTGAGCCCCATTGTTCAGATGATATTTGCACTCTGGAAAAGAGACTCTAAGGTTTTCTCCTCTTTTATTCACCTAGTCTCTGAATATAAAGTACTTAATTTCTGAGAAATCTCAATTCAACCTTCTTCTTTTCCATGAATCTTAACCTCATGCTTGTATGATTCCCCCATCTCCCCAACTTACCGTCATTGATGCCCTGAGCAGAGCACAAGGCTACCAAAGCCATGGACAGCAAGAGCAGCAGCATCTTGGTAGAAGTCATGCTGTCTCCGTCTCCCTCTCCTGATGCTGCAGCAAACTCAGACACGCTCCTGTAGAAAACACAAGGCAGTGTGATATCACCTTTCAAACCCATGGATTGACACCTCTAACCGATATCTGATTTGCCACTTGGGTCTTTGCCAACCTATTGGGTTCAAGGTGTGGTCAAGCTCGTCACTGGAAGAGCTTAAGTTAGTCAGGTTGTTTACAAGTTGTTCATTCTCCTCAGCTACTACTTATAAGTGTTCCATTCTGTAATACTCACTTCAGAACTGTGGTTCTGTTTCACTAGCCTATTCCACATTGTTTACACTGCCCAAATCGCAAATACTTCTGGCCTCTTCTCTATAGAATGAGCTAATAAAATCATCAGGAAATCAAAGGCGAAAATACCCAAAACATAATCAATAAAATGAAAGTACAACAAAGGGTCAAGAAAGGCTTATAGAAGTTATCTCACAGGGCTTAAAAAAAATGAAAGCAGCTAAGACTGTCTTCAGACTTAGACATCAGAATTCAGCCGAGTTCATGATTTCTATGGACTGTGACATTTTAAAACAAAAAAATGCCCAGGATAATGAGTGGGATAGAAAACAATAGTATGCAAGGAAGCATTGAGTGAGTTAGGTGTTCATCTTGGAAAGAAAGGCAAATGACTAAGGGTGATAATTGTATTTACCTATGGAGAACCAAGAGTAATTTTGTATGTATAGTTCTAGAAGGAATAAAAATAAAAGAGCTGGTGATTTTAAAAGGAAAATATTTGAAGACAATATAAAATAATTTCTTAGAATTTTTAAAGTTATCTTAGATTTAATTAAAACTTAATTTTAAATTATCTCACAGAAATGTTAATTATCTTAAAGAACCTAAAAATAAGACTCTTGGGATTCTTAAAATTTGAATGAATAGATTGAGTTTTTCAGGGGAAAATCAATTATCACCAGTTGTGCTCAGACACTGAGTCATCTATAACTAATATGTTAAAAATGTGGAGACCCAAAGGGATAGAATCATTTGTGTCCAACAAACTCTGCAAAATAGTATCAGGGGAAAAAGATTTCTTCTTTCTTTGGATGAAAATTCAAGAAGTTATATGACTTTTTGGATCACTTTTAGTTAGCTATGAAAATCCAATGACCACTTTGTCATAAAAAGCAGACTCAATTCAATATATTAAAATGTTGAACTCTATGTAATAGACATAGTTTTGATTTTCATGTAGAGTCACAGCTACTTTTCCTCCACCTAGCTAAAGCCATTCATAGACAATTCAGTTGTCTCTTGGCCAGAGAATGTATTGAGCTTCTATTTTTTGCTGGCTTACCTATTCCCCAAGTCAGTGGCAGTTCTTTTAGACACTTCCTAGGTTGGAGTAAAGGGAGTAAAGGGAGAGGTAATAGAAGAAAGGGAATTGAGAAAGCTTATATTTCCCTGGCATTATAATTAAGCTGCCTCTGTATTCTCTATGTCTGATAGATATTTAAAGGAGACTGTCTGTCATAGGAGTATATCCATGCCTTCTTTGGAGACCTCTCCATTATTGGTGGAGTGCTCCCTTTAAATCCCTTGATGAGAACAAAGGTATCTCATATCTGATTGGTTACTTCCCAGTAGTTCGGTGTCTTTGTCCTTAGAGTCCCTCACTTCTCCAATTGGGGCTGTAGGACAGGATCTAAGATGATCCCTCACAGGCTCTGGTTTATGGGCAGCACTCACCCATCAATTGCCCTGAAAGTCTCTGGAGTTTAGGATAATCTCCCTTCAGTCAGTCCTCCTTCATTCCACCCAAAAGCACTTAGGCTACTGCCAACTTCTAATTCGCATTTTGTATATTTTCTGACTTCACTAAACTCGATATAGACAGATACTTTTTCTGTTCCATTTTATTTTTTTTTTAATTTTTTAAAATTTATTTTCAGCGTAACAGTATTCATTGTTTTTGCACCACACCCAGTGCTCCATGCAATCCGTGCCATCTCCAATACCCACCACCTGGTTCCCCCAACCTCCCACCCCCGCCCCTTCAAAACCCTCAGATTGTTTTTCAGAGTCCATAGTCTCTCATGGTTCACCTCCCCTTCCAATTTCCCTCAACTCCCTTCTCCTCTCCATCTCCCCTTGTCCTCCATGCTATTTGTTATGCTCCACAAATAAGTGAAGCCATATGATAATTGATGCTCTCTGCTTGACTTATTTCACTCAGCATAATTTCTGTTCCATTTTAGATGAGGATAATCCATCTTCTGTTATTATATAGGGTAAGGAGTTCCATCCTAGGCTACACCAATGTCCCCTTAGGTTGCCATCTGTCTTAGTCCATTCAGACTGCTCTAACAAAATAAACCATAATCTGGGTGGCTTAACAACAATAGAAATTTGTTCTTACAGTTTTGGAGGCTGAGAATTTTAAGATCAAGCCACCAGCAGATTTGGTGTCTGGTGAGGGACTGCTTCGTGGTCATAGATGGCCACCTTCTTCCTAGGTTGGAAGGGACAAAGAAGTTCTCTGTTTCTCTTCTAAGGGCACCAATACTTTCCACGAGGATTCTGTGTTCAAGACTTAATCACCTCCCAGAGGTACCACTTCCTAACACCCTGACATTAAGGATTAAGTTTCAACACACAAATTTTGAGGAACACCAACATTCAGTATATTACACCAACTAAAAAACTCTTTATTCCTCTGACAGAAGATTCCCCTATATTAGGACTTCTCCATGCATAGGATACAAAGAACTCTCAGTCTGTGGATAAGAGTTTTAGACTAGGTGACTTTTTATCATTCTGAGAGGCCACTGACATAAATTTGGAATAATCAACAGTGGTCATAAACTGTCATCTGATTTGTTTATTTTTAAAAAGGTTATGTTTTTATTTATGTTTAATTGAAGTACAATGTTGCATTAGTTTCAAGTATACAACATAGTGATTCAACAAGTCTACACATTGTGCTATGCTCACCATGAATAAAGCTACCATCTGTTCACCTTACAGTGCTATTAGGATGCTACAGACTACATTCCTCATGCTGTAACTTTCATCCCCATGGCTTGTTCACGCCATAACTGAAGCCTGTACCGCCCTCTCCCCTTTCCTCCTTTTGCCCGTAACCCCACCTCCTTCCCTTCTGGCAATCATAGATATTTAAATCTTGAAGGGAAGGTTCATGTTGAATCACCAACTTACTCAGAATTCTGATTTTCCAACAATCAGTTATTTACAAATTTTTCTGCTTAAACACTCACCTACTTGTATATACTTTTCTGAGCAGAAATTTCGTACTGATCACAGCTTTCCAGACTGGTCAACTCTCATGATTGTTAGGGAGAGAGAAAAAGAGGGAGGAAGGAAGGAAGAGATGCAATGTATTTAATAAACAACTTCCACAGATTTTTTAATTTTCCCAGGTGTATCCAAAATGTCTACACAAATTTCTTTGTTTCCTTCGTGTTGTCTCCACTGTTTTTGTTTTGCTTCCTACATTACTGAAAAACAACTCTCCTCAGCATGAATGGTGGATCATTTTGCTCTAAATAATTTAATTCCTTTACTTGGTGCTTCCCTTTTCTATGGAAGTTCAGCAAAAGACATTCATGGAACCTAGGTGGAAGCTGTCATCAAGATGTGGAGCATAAGGAATAACATGGAAGACATGGGGAGATGGAGAGGAGAAGGGAGTTGGGGGAAATTGGAGGGGGAGACAAACCATGAGAGACTGTGGGCTCTGAGAATCAAACTGAGGGTTTTGGAGGGGCTGGGGGTGGGGGGTTGGGTGAGCCTGGTGGTGGGTATTGTGAAGGGCACGTATTGCATAGAGCACTGGGTGTGGTGCATACACAATGAATTCTGGCACACTGAAAAGAAATTTAAAAAATAAATAAAACTTTTTAAAATAAAGACATAAGACCTCTTCTTCCTCTAAAAGAGAAAGGGAAATTAAGTGCTGTAGCTAGGTTAGTATGTAACAAAAAGAGAAATCATCAGGCTTAAGCCTTAATGTCACGATATACAGTAAGGCTTAAGCCTGATGATTTCTCTTTTTGTTACATACTGACCTAGCTTCAGCACTTATTTAAGATATAGACCTTACAATTGTAAGGTCTAGACTTTACAATTTAGGGAGAAGAAAAAAAATTGAAGATTACATTTATGCTTTGGAGGAGAAAAATAATTTCTTAAAAGAGGACCAAGATTTACTCATGGTAAAAAGATTGAGAAATTGGACTACATTAAAATGAAGAATAGTCTAGACTCATCAAAAGATACCTTAAAGAAGTGAAAAAAGAAGACACAAAATGGGAGTAATTTTTGTAGCACTGATATTGAACACTTAGCAACAAGAATATATCATAAACTCTAATGAAGGAATAAGAAAAAAGAAAGCAATGTAACTTAAAAATTAGCAAAAGACACGAAACACATTTCACAGAAGAGGCCAATAAACAAGAAAAGATGCTCAACCTCATTAAGCATCAGGGAAATACATGTAAGACCATAATGAAATGCTAGTTTCCAACCACCAGATACAGATAACACCAAGCTCTTAATGTCACATGCATTTGAAGAACAATACTTCAGAGAGTCATAATTTGGCAGAGATGAGTCGTTTTCAAAAAGTTCAGTGCTACCTCCTTTGGAACTTATTTCTATGTCCAGTATGTAGGGTGAAGAAACAGAGAAAGAAATAATTCAACGAAGTGTTGAACACTGACCTCTAATTCTCAGATGGGGTGGGATTAATGCTACCTTAGAAAAAGAGGGGATGGGGTGCCTGGGTGGCTCTGCAGTTTGAGTGACCAACTCTTGGTTTCAGCTCTGGTCATGAGCTCGCTGTTGTGGGATCAAGTTCCGCATTCCACTATGGAGTCTGCTTGAGATTCTTGTTCCCCACCCCTCTGCTCCTCCCCCAACCTCTAAAATAGATAAATAAAATCTTTTTTAAAAAGAGAAAAGAAGGGCGCCTTGGTGGCTCAGTGGGTTAGGCCGCTGCCTTCGGCTCA